GCCCTGTTTGGGGGTTTTTCCAGGGGGGGGGGGGGAGCCAGCCCTTAACCCTGCTGACCGTGCACGGCATTTCTATCTTGCCCTTCCCTCCAAAAAGCCTGGGGCAGCACACAGGGCTTTCCTCCCGATTTCGTCCTCACAACAACCCTGTGAGGTTGGTTAGGGCGAGACAGAGGAAGAGCACTGCTGGCCCAAACTGTCATCTCAGGAGCATCGGGGCATGGTACGGAGCCCAGCTCTAGTCTAGACACCCTCACCACGACGCCGTCCCAGTCCCCCTCCACCGGTCATTAATTTACTCGTTTAGTGTTGCTGATGGCACCATTAAAAACCAGCAGATAAATTGGTCTCGAGGGGGGAAATTCATCTGTGATGAGCAACCTCGTAGGCACCTCTTCCCTCCCTCCCCCAGGTTGAATTACATGCGTCCGACTGAAACAGATACCTGGGGTGTTTCTTCCACACCCCCAGCACTATACTCTGCATATCCATTTCAGGGCATGCAGCCGAGGAGGCCCCAGGCTGCGCTGACTCGCAAATACTTTCCGGCCCTTGCAGAGTAGTACCTGAGCCTGGGAAGGTCCCCTTCCTGGTGACTCTCTCGGCTGGGTCGAGGCGCCGTGCTCGTGGGGAGCGTCCCTCTTCCGGGCATCAGCTTTGGAGAAGACCCCGACCAGGCGCTCGAGGGACTGCTCCAGCTCCTCCTCAGTGCATTCCAGATGTCTTCCGACACTGCCAGAGGAGTAAGGGCTCGACACCGGGGCAGTTCTGAGATCTTTCTCACTCTTGATTTCATCGACCGGCTTCTGATTCATTAACAAATACACAAGCACCACCAAGATCAGGCATAAATAGACAATCCATACTTCCTCCATGGTGGCACTTGGTGCTAAAGATGGCGGGGCCTGAGATGCTGCGGAAAGCTGTTGATGGATATTGCAGGCCTTTCGGGAGCCCAAATTTTAAGTCTTGCAGAGTCCAGTTGATAGGAAAGTTTGTTTAATGGGTAGAGTCCAATAATGAATTGATTATGCTTATATCCTTTCCAAAAACAAAACAAAAAGAACAATATTGACAATATTAAAATCTAATTGATAATCAAACCAGCCCACTAACTCATATGTAAACATTTTAAGTGAGGACTTTATAAAGACTCTCCACCCTACATCCCATTTGAGAGGACTTTTCAACTTCAAGGAAGTCTGAGCGGAAGGAAAATAAAATAATTTCTTTTTCTTAATTCATGTAAGTTTTCTTAGAGAATCAAAGAAGCATCCTTTCCACACTCTCACAAATCCAGCTGCATTTTTATCCTCGCTGGAAGTGTCGATCTCCACACCCTTTCAGAGCAAGCAATAACATTCAAGCACCGTAATTCAAAATCACCGCACATTCCTTTGAGACGTTTCTTAAACTACTTTTTAAAATAGTTCCCTAATGACAAAATAGGAGACAATTAACTGAAGTAACTTTTCTGACAGTTAAGTAATCGTGTCTGGAACACCCTCATCCAAATGAGGATAGTTTTATATCACAACAAAGGCAGCCACTGAGATTTTGTTGTACAGTTGTTGTTTTTTTAAAAAAACAATCTAATACAAAGTAAACATTAAAAGATTCACATTATTTGTGGGTTTCACCCTCCCCCCCTTTTGCAATCAAAAGTGATATAAGGTTTTTTGTTTTAAAAAACAATCTAATACACAGTAAACATTAAAAGATTCACATTACTTGTGGGTTTCACCTTCCCCCCTTTTGCAATCAAAAGTGATATAATTACAACATTTATTGGGTTGCGTTTGCCTCTCCTTGCTGGTCCAGAGCAAAGCCCGTCCTGAGGGATGTTCAATGACCAGGTTGTCCGAGATCCGTCCTTTCTCCGAAGCGGTGCCCTGCAAAGACTTCTCTTCTAAAGGCTCTTTTCCCTCTGGGACCCCTTCCCACCTGCACATGCAAACAGCTGAAGGACTAATTAGGATTCCCTGACCCACCCCTGTCTTTAACCAATGGCAGGAGAGGGACTGTGCGATCAGGGCATCAGTTCACAGGGTTTAGAACATGGCAGGAGTGAGCCAATCAGGAATCAGAGAAGGCTTGGCTGGTGGTCCAAGCATCTTCTGGGGTTGGAATGCAAGTCATGGGCTCTGCCAAAGGTTTTTGGTTACAGCTGAGGGTGCCAGGGCTAAAAAGAGAGAGAGGCTGTAGCCAGGTACCAGATGTCCCTTTCTGTTTTACACCCATCAGCTTGCTGGCTGGTTGACTCCAGAAGCTGCTGAATGGTTTGGGCCCAGAACCGGGTCTCCTTCTTGCCCATGTAGACTGGAACGCGAGGGATTCACAGTTCCGTACCTGACAGAATGGCCTGGATTTCACTTCTAGATGACAGAATACGGAGGGTGACTGTAAAGCAGGGAATACTGGGGGTGAATATTCTCTTAAACCACCCCTACAGGTAAAAAGGAGGAGCTGCGGTGGCTCAAGTGGTTAAGACGCTGAACTGCAGGCTGTGGAAGGTCGGTAGTTCAGCAGCTCGAGACCCGGGTGCCACATGACGGAGTGAGCTCCCGTCTCTAGTTCCAGCTCCTGCCAACCTAGCAGTTCGAAAGCAAGAAATCGCAAGTAGATAAATAGGGACCACTTTGGTGGGAAGGGAACAGCGTTCCGTGCGCCTTGGTGTTTAGTCATGCCGGCCACATGACCATGGAAACGTCTTCGGACAGCACTGGCTCTTCGGCTTTGAAACGGAGATGAGCACCGCAACCCTAGAGTCGGATTCGACTGGCTTTCGAGCAAGGGAACCTTTACCTTTAGAGGTAAAAAGCCTCATGCTGCCTTTCTACCTTGATGCTCCGTTTCTTGCAGTATTCACAGCCCACACCCCTTCAAGCCACTCCATACAGCTGCTTCAGGGAGAGAAAGAGTTCTCTGTCCTTCCAGATGCTTTCAAACCACAGCAGGCGAGGGAGCGCAGCAAAGTGATCGACAGCACCTTTCCCGAAGCATCTGCTGCTAGCGGCAGTCCACCCCTTTGGGGAATCTTTTCCAGGACCATCCGCTACACTCTGAGCGAGGGCATTCCCCTTAGGTCACCACAGCTCCACACCAAATAATGGAGATGGCCTGGCTCAATCCCTCCCGATTCCAGTGAACCATTCATTGGTCAAACTACCAAAGAACCTTGACCAAGCGGGGGTCAGTGAGGGCAGAGAGAACAAAAACCTGTCGCCGAAGCAGAACCTGTTGGCTCATTTGACCATTTTGCGCCTCATAATTAACATCAGATTTGACTAGCCATGTCAGATGCTGCTGCACCGGAGGGCCATTTGCTGAACACCGTATCATTCAGCAACATCCTTTAGCAATTAATAGCTAGATTAAGGAACTGCATTAGCTTTCCCAAATCTTGTTTATATACAACAGAAGCATGGAAGGAGTAGAGATGTAAAATTTCCGGAAATTTTGAAGCTCGG